ATCACTGAGCTACGACAACTTGTCGACTGGTACAAAAACAATGTCAAGAAAACAAATTGTAGAAGAAATACATAGACCTGCAAGACGAAATTTTCGAAGAAGAAAATTTATTCAAAAAGGTTTAAACGACACCTGGCAAATTGATTTAGTTGAAATGATTCCATATGCAAAATTTAACAAAGGATATAAATATTTATTAACTGTGATAGATACTTTCTCAAAATATGCATATGCAGAACCAGTCAAAAATAAAGATGCAAATAGTGTTTCACTTGCTATGAAAAATATTCTCAAAAGTGCTACAAAAACTCCTAAAAATATTCAATCTGATCAAGGTAAAGAGTTTTTCAATAAAGAATTCAAAACATTGATGGATAACAAAAAGATTAATCATTATCATACATACTCCGAATTGAAAGCATCTATTGTGGAACGTTTCAATCGTACTTTAAAAAATTCAATGTGGAAGCACTTTAGTTTTCAAGGTAATTACAAATGGTTATCAATTTTACCATCTCTCATTGAAAAGTATAACTCAACTTACCACCATACAATCAAGCTTCCACCTAACAAGGTAACCAAGAAAAATGAGAAAGATGTTATGAAAAATATATACATGCAACCAAAGTTATTTCAAAAACCAAAGTACAAAACTGGAGATTATGTTCGCATTAGTAAACATAAAGGAAATTTTGCAAAAGGTTACCAACCAAACTGGTCAACAGAGATTTTTAAAATTAGTAATACAAATAAAACAGATCCGATCACTTACACATTACTTGACTATACAAACACTCCGATTTCAGGTGCATTTTATGAACCTGAACTTACCAGAGTAAAAAATCCTGACGCCTTTCTTGTTGAAAAAATAATAAAAAAGAAAGGAAATCAAGTTTTTGTTAAGTGGTTGGGTTTTAACAATAGTCACAATTCTTGGATAAATAAAAATGATATATTGTAAATTTTGTTTTGTTTTTATTATTTATTTAATGTATATAATTTGCATCACACAAAGTAGTAAGAACTCTATTAATAATTTATTTGCAATAGTATTTTATACATTTTGCAAATCTCGACTTCCTTGATTGAATTGGAAATTTACATTGTACAATTTAATTTTTCTTCTGAAATATTATTTGCACCAGTAGAAAAATTTACATAAATCGTGTCATTTTATTTGTATTTCATTTTTATTAGAAAAATAAAAATTAATCTTAACATACCACTCCTGAGCTCTTATTCTTGAACTTGATTTTTCTTTCTCAATAAAAAAAAGCTTTAAAACATGTACACATGTATGTACATATTTTCTTCTTACACTTGAAAATAACCACTATTCTATTATAACAATAACAAGTAAAAAAAAAAAAAAGCTTTCGTGTAATAACAAACAAAAACAAACCGGCTTAATTTGCATAATAAACCTGGCGCGCGCATTCCACAAGGTTCAACGACCTTCGGCGTGACCCATAGGTGTGCGCTCTTGCATCTGGATGACCTTCCCATGTCGTGACCTCATTTGTGCAATTATTCATTCATTCATCTGAATCATTGCATTTAGTCATTTATATACCATGAGCACTTCCGGGGTCATGCATGTGCACCTGACGCCACCGGCTGTTAAGTCGTTCACCTCATTTAATATGCAGGAATCCAGTTATAATTAACTATTCAAGCATGCAGGAATGCAGTCATAATTAAATATGCAATAAAAAGGCCATGCACCTAGGTGGCACGCGCCTCATTTGCATAATTATTTTCCCATGCTCAGGTGACCCCATTACTACTTTACTCCCTAACTTTTTAATTTAATTCTTTTTAAATTAAAAAATTTTCTTTTAACCATTAAATAGAAAGCAATATAATAATTAATTTCAAAATATTTGTCGTATATTTCAAATTTACGTTTTTTATGAAGTATAAGCAAATATTTCTAGTACAGTAGGTAATAATATATTTTACATTGTACATATATATTGTTACTTTATTTTAATTTTCTCATGTACTATTACCCTATTATTGATTCTCATGTACATTTTCTCATGTACTATTACCCTATTATTGATTCTCATGTACATTTTCTCATTATTATCTATAAAGGCTAAAATTATGAGCTAAAAAGTTTCGCTTGTAATAAAATATACTTGTATCTGCTTGAGGACATGTAAGTTGTTTTTGGAAATCTTAGCAAATTATGCAAAATTTTTATTTTTTAAATGTTGATAGATATCTCTTGAGAAGCTGTTTCTTTCTTGTCAAGATTCTTATAGGATTCACAAATATTACATTGGTCTTTACGAGGTTTGTGAAATGAAATGTTAAATTCACTAACAAATATGTCGTAATATTGTCGTTCAGTTACCTCTACGTCAGCCAAATGTTCATCTTTAATTTTTTAAATTATTCCCACTGGTTTGGGAATCGGCCACCAGCTACTCCAGTGTGCATCTGGCTATGTCCCGGAGGTTCAGCATTTTGTTGGTTAAATAAAAGTAGCCGGTTACCACCAATGGCTACGTAGCATAAACAGAAAAAAAAATTATGCACACGTTGAAAAAAATAAAAACAAATTAATGCGATTGCAAAAAAAAATAGTGAGGTTGGATTCAACTGGAACACCTTGTAGTGAACCAAAACGTGAAGCGTTGTGATAGGGTGCACCACATGGTACACCACTGTGCTGACAGGGTGACGAATCACCACTGTCCCGAGCCCTAACCTTCCATGAGTCTCAGATATTGTTGAGACTCCCAAGTTTGCTCGAAAAACCCCTAAATTTTGAACACCCTAAAGGAGAAAGGAATTACTACTCCATCATCATTATATTATAATTTATATACAAATTCTAAATTCGATGGCCATATGATTAAAAAAAAAGGAAACACTTTTGAATATACATATATATATATTTTGAGTTCGATTCAATTTCAAATTTTATTTTTTTTTTTTTTTATTTAATTTAGGTTTTTATTTTAAATTTCTACTTTCATTAATAGATTTTTAAAAAACTTTATATAATATTTTTAATAACTTTAAGGTTTGAATTATTTTAATTAAATCAATTCAAAAATTATATTATAGAGGCCATCGTATAATTTATAAAACTTTCAACTAAAAAAATTAGCACCTTATTTCAGCTCTATGCACTAACTAACTTTTCCTTCTTTCCAATCAACCATTAAAGAAAAAATTCATACTTCAAAAAAAAAAAACAGTTCAAAATTCTTAACGGTAAAATCGTACGATATTATGCTCTAGAAATTTCGATTTCAAAGTTCTAATAGAAAAACCAACAACGAAAAAAATCAGATGATAACAAGAAAAAAATTTATATGATCCGACATTTAACCCTACGCAGAATTCCATATAATATTTAATACAAATTATTCCTATATAACATCAACATGGTCGAACACACATCTATAATTCGCATTAGGATAGTATATGACGTATAAGGGTTAGCAAAGAATTCGCATATTTAAAACTGAAATAAAAAAACTTACAACAACAATTTGCATTATGCGTATGAGAGAATAGAACGAAAAAGAACAATAAAAAAAAATTACAAATACCAATAAGGAACAAGTATACTTATGCGTAAATATGCAAATCATGCGATATACGACTGTACACATTTTTTTGCTATGAATATGTATGTTTATGAATAACATTGTGTATACATAGACATAGGTTATATGCAGTGTAGCCAGATTTTATTTTAACTTCAATGCTAAATCAGGGACAAAAGCACTGCTAAAAAAAAAGGAATGCTAAAAATAATGCTCAACATTTTTTTTAGCATTTTTAATGCTAAAAATAATAATAAAAAATTTAAATAGATACCTATTTATTACTTTATTTATTGACATATGGAAAATTTATTTCGTTTTTAATTTTTATGTGCATAAATTTTATTAAGTTACTTAATTTATAAAAAAATTAAAGATTTACTCCCTAACTTTTTAATTTAATTCTTTTTAAATTAAAAAATTTTCTTTTAACCATTAAATAGAAAGCAATATAATAATTAATTTCAAAATATTTGTCGTATATTTCAAAATTACGTTTTTTATGAAATATAAGCAAATATTTCTAGTACAGTAGGTAATAATATATTTTACATTGTACATATATATTGTTACTTTATTTTAATTTTCTCATGTACTATTACCCTATTATTGATTCTCATGTACATTTTCTCATGTACTATTACCCTATTATTGATTCTCATGTACATTTTCTCATTATTATCTATAAAGGCTAAAGGTTTCGCTTGTAATAAAATATACTTGTATCTGCTTGAGGACATGTAAGTTGTTTTTGGAAATCTTAGCAAATTATGCAAAATTTTTATTTGATGAGATATCTCTTGAGAAGCTGTTTCTTTCTTGTCAAGATTCTTATAGGATTCACAAATATTACATTGGTCTTTACGAGGTTTGTGAAATGAAATGTTAAATTCACTAACAAATATGTCGTGATATTGTCGTTCAGTTACCTCTACATCAGCCAAATGTTCATCTTTAATTTTTTCAGTGAAAAGGCTTGTTATGAACTAGTGTTGTTGCTGTTTGGGGGACGACCTAGGGCTGTGTCCCGGAGGTTCAGCATTTTGTGGGTTAAATAAAAGTAGCCGGTTACCACCAATGGCTACGTAGCATAAACAGAAAAAAAATTATGCACACGTTGAAAAAAATAAAAAAAAATTAATGCGATTGCAAAAAAAAATAGTGAGGTTGGATTCAACTGGAACACCTTGTAGTGAACCAAAACGTGAAGCGTTGTGATAGGGTGCACCACACGGTACACCACTGTGCTGATTTCTGTACATTTTCTCATGTACTATTACCCTATTATTGATTCTCATGTACATTTTCTCATTATTATCTATAAAGGCTAAAATTATGAGCTAAAAAGTTTCGCTTGTAATAAAATATACTTGTATCTGCTTGAGGACATGTAAGTTGTTTTTGGAAATCTTAGCAAATTATGCAAAATTTTTATTTTTTTAAATGTTGATGAGATATCTCTTGAGAAGCTGTTTCTTTCTTGTCAAGATTCTTATAGGATTCACAAATATTACATTGGTCTTTACGAGGTTTGTGAAATGAAATGTTAAATTCACTAACAAATATGTCGTGATATTGTCGTTCAGTTACCTCTACATCAGCCAAATGTTCATCTTTAATTTTTTCAGTGAAAAGGCATGTATGTTTATGAATAACATTGTGTATACATAGACATAGGTTATATGCAGTGTAGCCAGATTTTATTTTAACTTCAATGCTAAATCAGGGACAAAAGCACTGCTAAAAAAAAAGGAATGCTAAAAATAATGCTCAACATTTTTTTTAGCATTTTTAATGCTAAAAATAATATTAAAAAATTTAAATAGATACCTATTTATTACTTTATTTATTGACATATGGAAAATTTATTTCGTTTTTAATTTTTATGTGCATAAATTTTATTAAGTTACTTAATTTATAAAAAAATTAAAGATTTACTCCCTAACTTTTTAATTTAATTCTTTTTAAATTAAAAAATTTTCTTTTAACCATTAAATAGAAAGCAATATAATAATTAATTTCAAAATATTTGTCGTATATTTCAAAATTACGTTTTTTATGAAATATAAGCAAATATTTCTAGTACAGTAGGTAATAATATATTTTACATTGTACATATATATTGTTACTTTATTTTAATTTTCTCATGTACTATTACCCTATTATTGATTCTCATGTACATTTTCTCATGTACTATTACCCTATTATTGATTCTCATGTACATTTTCTCATTATTATCTATAACCGTTTCGCTCCGACTTTTATAAAACCATCTCTGCAAATTTTCCTTACAATAAATATAATCTTACTTACCCAACGAACATATAAATTTCTGGTTTTTTTTTTAAAATTTCCTGTTCAGGATTTACAGTCCTGGGATAAAAAAGTCCCAGCAGCCTTTTTGCTTGGGACATTTCTATCCCTGCAGTTTAATGGAAACAAAAATTTAAATCAGAAATTCAAAATATTTATTGATTAATTCATAGAATTTACATGAATTTTAAAAAAATTATGAGTGACACGGAGTGAAACAGTTTTTGCAAAAAGCTAGATCACAAGCCTTACACATTTGTCGTGTTCTACTTTCTTTTCCCTTTCTTTTGCAGCCTTCACAACGACGTCGCATAGTTCCAAGAATTGGTAAATGATCACCAATATTGTTAAATAAACGTGCACGCTTCGAATTCCTTCCGTCTTTTCTAGTACGCTTTATCGCCGCAGATTTTCTCCCATTAGCTATAAGTTGTTCAGACAAATCAACAAGAAAATCTTTAAATGGTTTTTTTTCTCTGTGAATTTCAGAATAAACAATCCAAGCATTTACTGCACAGGTCATTATTAGCCGAAAAAAAACTTTTTTCCACCATTTTGTAGATTTTCTGTCCAAATCATAGACGCCAACCATTTTGTCTGCCAAGTCAACACCTCCCATGACATAACGGTAACATTTTATAATGTCTGGACAAGGCACATCTAACTTTTGACCATCTTTCATTTTACGTTTTACAGTTCCAACAGTATTGGTATGGCAATTACTTAAAACCAATACCTCCTTCGTATCTTGCCACTTCACAGCCATTGTACCATGTTGATTACTTTTAAATATATATTCACCCCTTTCAAGCTTGGCGGTTATTTTTGGAAGATCCTTTCGATTTGCGATACATGTTCCAAGGGCTGGATAAGGGAGAGTATTTACCAAATGAACTGATGTGAAAAATCGGTCAAAACATAGAGTAACATCAGTTTCGGTAACAGTTTCCATTAATTTATTCACAACACGCTCTCCAAGAGTGCCATGTAAAGATCCGGTTTCCTTACCAGAATAAATGTTGAAATCATAGGTATAGCCAGTCAAAGAATCGCATCTCATCCAAATTTTAATACCACGTTTAATTGGTTTTAATGGCATATACTGTTTCATAGAAAAACGCCCCAGAAATTTGGTCATGCTCTCGTCTATACTCTGGAATGGGCTATCTTGCCGCATTTCTCGGAAAGTTTTTTTACAGCAATTAACAATATCATCCATGTAATAAGTTTTTGGTGCATTTGAAGGCTGTTCTACGGGGGCGAAGTACATTTTTGCCATCAATATTTGAAATCTGTCCCGTGAAATTGCTTCTTTTATTGCCAGATTTTGTAACGACTTTTTTTTGGACCAATAGTCAGATATAGCTGGTACACGATTGTAGCACATTATAAATGTACAACCCAAAACTATCATTATTTCTCCGTAATCAGTGTCCTTTACAGAACTACGATTACTCTTAGATGATCGATGAATTTCTAATCTTTGATTAGTGCATTGCGCGATGTATTTTATTGCACTTATTGGCATAAATCTTAAAAATACATCTGATTCAGTATGATAGCGAGATACTTTAGGACTCAATGTACATTTACGAATCTGCGAAATATCTTTTCTAGGTACAAAATTCATCGGCGGATCCATCCAAATATTAATATTATTTACAGGTATTTCAGCTTCTGTTGCAGATTCAACCGCTGCTACAGATTCAGTTGCTGTTGCAGATTCATCCGCTATTGTAGGTTCAGCTATTGTCGGAGGTTCAGCTGCTGACGCAGGTTCAGTTGCTGCATCATCTCCTGTTATTAACGGAAATTCCTCATTATGTGAACCCGTATCAGATTCAGAAACATCTTCAAATTCAGAAATATCTTCAGATTCTTCATCTAGTTGCGACGGGGCGTATAAATCATCAGATCCGTCAGAAAAATCAGCCTCAGAACTATCTTCTTCCAATTCTTGTTCTATTTCATGTGGTTTCATTGATTTTCTTGCCATTTTGTAATTATACCTGTTAAAATAATCAATTGTAATCACACAATTTGGCTAAGTTGAAATTGTACATATAAATTTCCGATTGATTAAAAAGTTTGCTGGGATACAAATAGCCCGTTGTAAAATACTGCTGGGATATTTTAATCCCACATATACTAAAATTGTACAAAAACCACCCTAAAAACCAAAATAACTTACCTTTTTTACGAAAACTATAACAGAGAACACTTTTATTTTAAATTTGCACTTGTTCTTTATCACTTATCACTTTTTTTTTTAAAATATTGAACTAAATTATTCCTCCGATGTGAATCAAACCGCCAATAAAAGCCAACTGTCAAAAACCTATTTATTTTTTTGAATGAAAATGATCGATAATGCAGTCAGGAACTTATAAAATACGTTTTGGTAAACTTTTATCCCGAAATAAATACATATTTTGCTTATCCGACTTTTTTAAAAAATGTGTGGGATAAAAATATCCCAGGAGTAGTGAAACGGATAAAGGCTAAAGGTTTCGCTTGTAATAAAATATACTTGTATCTGCTTGAGGACATGTAAGTTGTTTTTGGAAATCTTAGCAAATTATGCAAAATTTTTATTTTTTTAAATGTTGATGAGATATCTCTTGAGAAGCTGTTTCTTTCTTGTCAAGATTCTTGTAGGATTCACAAATATTACATTGGTCTTTACGAGGTTTGTGAAATGAAATGTTAAATTCACTAACAAATATGTCGTGATATTGTCGTTCAGTTACCTCTACATCAGCCAAATGTTCATCTTTAATTTTTTCAGTGAAAAGGCTTGTTATGAACTAGTGTTGTTGCTGTTTGGGGGACGACCTAGGGCTGTGTCCCGGAGGTTCAGCATTTTGTGGGTTAAATAAAAGTAGCCGGTTACCACCAATGGCTACGTAGCATAAACAGAAAAAAAAATTATGCACACGTTGAAAAAAATAAAAAAAAATTAATGCGATTGCAAAAAAAAATAGTGAGGTTGGATTCAACTGGAACACCTTGTAGTGAACCAAAACGTGAAGCGTTGTGATAGGGTGCACCACACGGTACACCACTGTGCTGATTTCTGTACATTTTCTCATGTACTATTACCCTATTATTGATTCTCATGTACATTTTCTCATTATTATCTATAAAGGCTAAAATTATGAGCTAAAAAGTTTCGCTTGTAATAAAATATACTTGTATCTGCTTGAGGACATGTAAGTTGTTTTTGGAAATCTTAGCAAATTATGCAAAATTTTAATTTTTTTAAATGTTGATGAGATATCTCTTGAGAAGCTGTTTCTTTCTTGTCAAGATTCTTATAGGATTCACAAATATTACATTGGTCTTTACGAGGTTTGTGAAATGAAATGTTAAATTCACTAACAAATATGTCGTGATATTGTCGTTCAGTTACCTCTACATCAGCCAAATGTTCATCTTTAATTTTTTCAGTGAAAAGGCTTGTTTTGAACTAGTGTTGTTGATGTTTGGGGGACGACCTAGCAGAGCACGTCATCCGCCACTGGTTTGGGAATCGGCCACCAGCTACTCCAGTGTGCATCTGGCTGTGTCCCGGAGGTTCAGCATTTTGTGGGTTAAATAAAAGTAGCCGGTTACCACCAATGGCTACGTAGCATAAACAGAAAAAAAAAATTATGCACACGTTGAAAAAAATAAAAACAAATTAATGCGATTGCAAAAAAAAATAGTGAGGTTGGATTCAACTGGAACACCTTGTAGTGAACCAAAACGTGAAGCGTTGTGATAGGGTGCACCACACGGTACACCACTGTGCTGACAGGGTGACGAATCACCACTGTCCCGAGCCCTAACCTTCCATGAGTCTCAGATATTGTTGAGACTCCCAAGTTTGCTCGAAAAACCCCTAAATTTTGAACACCCTAAAGGAGAAAGGAATTACTACTCCATCATCATTATATTAAAATTTATATACAAATTCTAAATTCGATGGCCATTGATATGATAAAAAAAAGGAAACACTTTTGAATATTCATATATATATATTTTGAGTTCGATTCAATTTCAATTTCAAATTCAATTTTTTTTTTTTTTTTTTTTAATTTAGGTTTTTATTTTAAATTTCTACTTTCATTAATAGATTTTTAAAAAACTTTATATAATATTTTTAATAACTTTAAGGTTTAAATTTCTTTTATTAAATCAATTCAAAAATTATATTATAGAGGCCATCGTATAAATTATAAAACTTTCAACTAAAAAAATTAGCACCTTATTTCAGCTCTATGCACTAACTAACTTTTCCTTCTTTCCAATCAACCATTAAAGAAAAAATTCATACTTCAAATAAAAAAACAGTTCAAAATTCCTAACGGTAAAATCGTACGATATTATGCTCTAGAAATTTCGATTTCAAAGTTCTAATAGAAAAACCAACAACGAAAAAAATCAGATCATACCAAGAAAAAAAGTTTATATGATCCGACATTTAACCCTACACAGAATTCCATATAATATTTAATACAAATTATTCCTATATAACATCAACATGGTCGTACACACATCTTATAATTCGCATTAGGATAGTATAATTCGAATATTTAAAACTGAAATAAAAAAACTTACAACAACAATTTGCATTATGCGTATGAGAGAATAGAACTAAAAAGAACAATAAAAAAAATTACAAATACCAATAAGGAACAAGTATACTTATGCGTAATTATGCAAATCATGCGATATACGACTGTACACATTTTTTTGCTATGAATATGTATGTTTATGAATAACATTGTGTATACATAGACATAGGTTATATGCAGTGTAGCCAGATTTTATTTTAACTTCAATTCTAAATCAGGGACAAAAGCACTGCTAAAAAAAAAGTAATGCTAAAAATAATGCTCAACATTTTTTTTAGCATTTTTAATGCTAAAAATAATAATAAAAAATTTAAATACATACCTATTTATTACTTTATTTATTGACATATGGAAAATTTATTTCGTTTTTAATTTTTATGTGCATAAATTTTATTAAGTTACTTAATTTATAAAAAAATTAAAGATTTACTCCCTAACTTTTTAATTTAATTCTTTTTAAATTAAAAAATTTTCTTTTAACCATTAAATAGAAAGCAATATAATAATTAATTTCAAAATATTTGTCGTATATTTCAAAATTACGTTTTTTATGAAATATAAGCAAATATTTCTAGTACAGTAGGTAATAATATATTTTACATTGTACATATATATTGTTACTTTATTTTAATTTTCTCATGTACTATTACCCTATTATTGATTCTCATGTACATTTTCTCATGTACTATTACCCTATTATTGATTCTCATGTACATTTTCTCATGTACTATTACCCTATTATTGATTCTCATCTACATTTTCTCATTATTATCTATAAAGGCTAAAGGTTTCGCTTGTAATAAAATATACTTGTATCTGCTTGAGGACATGTAAGTTGTTTTTGGAAATCTTAGCAAATTATGCAAAATTTTTATTTTTTTAAATGTTGATGAGATATCTCTTGAGAAGCTGTTTCTTTCTTGTCAAGATTCTTATAGGATTCACAAATATTACATTGGTCTTTACGAGGTTTGTGAAATGAAATGTTAAATTCACTAACAAATATGTCGTGATATTGTCGTTCAGTTACCTCTACATCAGCCAAATGTTCATCTTTAATTTTTTCAGTGAAAAGGCTTGTTATGAACTAGTGTTGTTGATGTTTGGGGGACGACCTAGGGCTGTGTCCCGGAGGTTCAGCATTTTGTGGGTTAAATAAAAGTAGCCGGTTACCACCAATGGCTACGTGGCATAAACAGAAAAAAAAATTATGCACACGTTGAAAAAAATAAAAACAAATTAATGCGATTGCAAAAAAAAATAGTGAGGTTGGATTCAACTGGAACACCTTGTAGTGAACCAAAACGTGAAGCGTTGTGATAGGGTGCACCACACGGTACACCACTGTGCTGACAGGGTGACGATTCACCACTGTCCCGAGCCCTAACCTTCCATGAGTCTCAGATATTGTTGAGACTCCCAAGTTTGCTCGAAAAACCCCTAAATTTTGAACACCCTAAAGGAGAAAGGAATTACTACTCCATCATCATTATATTAAAATTTATATACAAATTCTAAATTCGATGGCCATTGATATGATTAAAAAAAAGGGAACACTTTTGAATATACATATATATATATTTTGAGTTCGATTCAATTTCAATTTCAAATTCAATTTTTTTTTTTTTTTTTTTAATTTAGGTTTTTGTTTTAAATTTCTACTTTCATTAATAGATTTTTAAAAAACTTTATATAATATTTTTAATAACTTTAAGGTTTAAATTACTTTTATTAAATCAATTCAAAAATTATATTATAGAGGCCATCGTATAAATTATAAAACTTTCAACTAAAAAAATTAGCACCTTATTTCAGCTCTATGCACTAACTAACTTTTCCTTCTTTCCAATCAACCATTAAAGAAAAAATTCATACTTCAAATAAAAAAACAGTTCAAAATTCCTAACGGTAAAATCGTACGATATTATGCTCTAGAAATTTCGATTTCAAAGTTCTAATAGAAAAACCAACAACGAAAAAAATCAGATCATACCAAGAAAAAAAGTTTATATGATCCGACATTTAACCCTACACAGAATTCCATATAATATTTAATACAAATTATTCCTATATAACATCACCATGGTCGTATACACATCTTATAATTCGCATTAGGATAGTATAATTCGAATATTTAAAACTGAAATAAAAAAACTTACAACAACAATTTGCATTATGCGTATGAGAGAATAGAACGAAAAAGAACAATAAAAAAAATTACAAATATCAATAAGGAACAAGTATATTTATGCGTAAATATGCAAATCATGCGATATACGACTGTACACATTTTTTTGCTATGAATATGTATGTTTATGAATAACATTGTGTATACATAGACATAGGTTATATGCAGTGTAGCCAGATTTTATTTTAA